TAGATCTTTCCTACCAGAAGATCAGGGGTGTGGCAGAAAGACAGCAGTAAGGAGGAGCCAAGGAGTAGCAGTAGAAAGGCTGCAGAAAGAGTCAGGAGCCCAGAGTACATATCTGCCGCTGCATGATCTTACAATATGCTTTGTACATCCTTGTAATGTGTAGTCGGAGAATGAAAACGCTCAGACTGCTCTGAAAAAAAGTTCTTGTAAATGTCCTTGCCTGCATAAAAAACATGGAGTTCAGTTCAAACTTTCTGTCATTCTCTTCAGTTTTTTGTTTTTTTAAACATCACTTTGAACCCCATGAGGAATTTCCTTGTACAACTGCAAGTACAATATATACTTTCAATACTTTCATATAATGATCCAACAGCTCATAATACACAGTATCACTTCAATGTAGACAACTTCATAAACTTGCCATGGCTGGTTGCACCACTGTATAGGGTCCTGTTCTTGAGTCAATGTTATCGTATATCTTGTTCAAGTTCAAGGTCATACTCCAGTGACCATCCACCTAAATGCCTTGTCCCAAAAAAATCTTCTTGACTTCATGGTGAGCCAAAGCTGACGCACTACTCAGCCTCTGTGTTTGTGGTTCGCTAAGTGCTTGTTGAAATAATTCGAGTCAAAACAGACCAAGACAATGACTGTAATTTTCAATGTTCCTGAAGAGGAATCATTTGTTCTGAGGGGGAAAAGAGTTTTGAGCAGTAATTTGTTTTTAAAATTTTCAAAAGCACGACCTTTTATAAAAAGTCCATAGGATTCAGTGCTCATGTACATACTTTTTACCAATATCTCATAAGGATCAAAGCAGAGAGGTATTATTTTATTTTTTTATGCCGCGATTTATTTTTCTCGACTGTCTTTTCATCTCACTACATACGCAGCACCATCTTACTCATTTTTTTTCGCTTCTCCGTTAATGGTTCAGGCGGAGGTTTGAACCGAGCCCTCGGAGTGCGCAGGCAAGGAGCCCGACAACCTCTGCACGACCCGTATGAAGATGGCGCTTTGGTGCTGTACAGTCCTCCTGAGCTGTCGGCTCACGACCAGATGAAAACAGACATGTGAGTTCTCCGCGCATTATTCTGTTTGATACTTTATTAACTGTGTGAGTTCTTCGAGCATTGTTCTGTTTGATACTTTATTAACTGTGTGAGTTCTTCGCGCATTGTTCTGTTTGATACTTTGTTAACTGTGTGAGTTCTCCATACGTTGTTCTATCTGATACTTGGTTAACTGATTCAGCCCGCAGATAATTTTCACTCCGGACACAAATAATTTGTGAAAGCTTCGTGACCTCACAGATGGTCTCACAAAAAGTTATATGTATGGGGGGGGTGGGGGGGCGGTAATCACATGTGATTTTCATGGAGAGGTGGCTGCTATAGTGTTTAAGTGGTTAGGCTCTCGGACTCGCAACCGTAAGGTCGTGGGTTCGAATCCTGTCAGGGGCCCGACGTTGTGTCCTTGGGAAAGGCACTTTACACAAATTTTCCTCACTTCACCCAGGTGGGAATGGGTACCCGGCTATAGACAGCGAAAGATCTTGTCAGTTTGTTAGTGTTTGAGCGCTTAATCAGCTGCTTGCACTGTATGCTTCCCGGAAAGCTGAGAATGTTTCAGAGTGTTCTATGGTCTGCTGGGGTAATAATATAGTGTAAAGCGCATAGAGCCTGCTGATGAGCGGGGATATGCGCTATACAAATGCTATCTATTATTATTATTATTATTATTATTGTTATTATTATTATTATTAAGACTGTGTTATAAATCTTGTTATTTTGCTTATGTTAAGAGGTTTTTGAGGAACTGTTCAGTGTTGAGTTGCATTTCTTCTAAAGTGTGGGTTGGAAGGGTCTGGCTTCTTTTCCTTTTTTTCTTTTTTTCTCAATGTTTCATTCTAGGGAGTGGCGTCGGTGGCCTAGTGGTTAGGCTACCGGACTCATAATCGTGAGATTGCGGATTCTAGGGTTCGAGCCTCAGCTCGGTCCAATGTTGTGTCCTTGGGAACGGCACTTTACACGAATTTCCCACTTGACCCAGTCCTTTCGGAGATGGACGTTGAACTAGGAGGTCCCACCTCTTAAATAACCTAATAGTGTTGATAGGGGCGTTAAGTTAAACCTGTACCATTTCACCGAGGTTCTTTTTTCCATCTAGGGAAAAGCTGCCAGTCCACGTTGTTGTGGATCCCATCCTGTCGAAAGTTCTCCGGCCTCATCAGAGAGAGGTAATTCATTGTAATGTCTGTGTTATGTACGGACTTAGCAGAATCATGACTCATCTTTCTTTATGAGTGGGTGGTTGGCGGTTGCTCTGGTGTGGTGTGCTCCTCCTTTCCTGTCAAACGTCTATTGTCCTGATCTCTCCTCCTTTTTTGTGTTTGTTACTCTCTTGTAACACCTCTAATTTTCGGCTCTTATATGACCTTATTGTGTTACAAGTGCCGTAAAACTCTTGCTAAAACTTTTTTTAAAGTTCTTTATGACAACGGTTATGAAAACTTCCTGTTTTGTAGTTTGGTTGTTTTGTTGGGGGTTTTTTCAAACATCTGTCGTCCTGATCTCTCCTCCTTCTTTTTTGTATTTGTTACTTTCTTGTTACAACTTGTAACACCTCTAATCTTCTGGTGCTCATATGACCTTATGCAGTTGCAAGCGCCATAAAACTCTTACTAAAAACAAAAATGAGTTTAATTGATATCTTCAATTACTCTGTAACAAATTGTGTGAGCTGTCCTCTATTTCAAACAAACTCAGCTTCATCTTTCCAGTAAGTCGTGACCCCAGTGCTTTCTTGTCGTATCTCCATTTTTAATAACTGTAATAACAGTGAAAACGGTCTATAACAAAGAGTGAGCTTAAGAAAAAGTCACATTTTCACTGATGAAAAAAATGAAGATAGGACAAGAAAGTACTCTGGTCGCAAAGTGTTGACACGTGCCACTGCTGCTGTGCTCCACAGGGTGTCAAGTTCATGTACGACTGTGTCACCGGCACCCAGATTGAGGACAACTATGGCTGTATCATGGCTGATGAGATGGTGCGTTGTAAGCGGTGCTCATTGGAGGATCAGTTCAGTTCCATGGAGGAAAATCTTGCTAGCCCCGACGACCGAACCGGAGCGAACTGATCTTGCCAATGGGCACCGGGTGTTAGAATTTTGGTTTTGTGTCTTGTTATTTGTGGCAGGACTATGAACTTCTGTTTGAAATCTTTTATAATTGCAGCTGTTTTTCTTATTACTATTCAACTTAAGCGAGTACAGCGACTGGTTTTTGTTGACACTGTTCTGCCACTACAGAATGGCATTTGTGTCGTCTTTGTTTTGTCGTTGACATCACGTTATGGGAGGTCAGTAGGTTTTACACCAGGGATGGAGTTGTCATCTTCGTAGAAGGGATGCCAACAGGTTTGAAGCAGCCTACCTCCCAAATGATCTAAATAATGTCTACTGAGGTGGAAAACTTTCACAATTGTTACTGGGGTAACAACTGAGACCGTCGGTTCAGGAGATCTGACTATAATTGTAAAGTCCCCCTTTTATTTTTGCGCTCACGTGATGTGAATGTGTTTGGAACTTGCCGTTGATGTGTCTGGAGCATGCCATTGATGTGTCTGGAGCATGCCATTGATGTGTCCTACTTCTTTTCTCCCCTCTCTGTTTTGTTTCTGTGTTTCTTTCTTGCTTACTCCCTGCACTAAATGGATGGCTGTTGATGTGTTTGTCTTTATTTCACATAACTGGACTTCACGGAAAGTAAAAAATTAAGAATCCAGTTTGAAAAGGATGACAAAAATGGCCGCTGTGATGTTGCATGCTGTAAGTTTATGTCCCTACTTATTTATAAGGACACAGACACATCTGAAGGCTGCAGTGAGCTGATGTGTGTGGGTGGTTGGCGGGTGCTCTTGTGTGATTTGTTTCTTCTTTCCTATCAAACATCTGTCGTCCTTATCCCCCCCTTCTTCTTTTTTGTGTTTGTTACTCTCTTGTAACACCTCTAATCTTCTGACGCTCATATGACCCTATGCAGTTGCGAGCGCCGTAAAACCTCTACTGAAACTGAAAACTAAAGGCACGTCTGAAAGCTGCTGTCATGTTTGTTTGTTTGTTTGTTTGTTTCCAGGGACTTGGCAAGACTCTACAGTGTGTGACGTTGGTGTGGACCCTCTTGGTAAGTTCCCAAGTTCTGTCTGTCTAGGTTATTGGGGGGGGGGGGGGGGGGGGGGGGTTACTGTATTCATCCATATTTTTATTTTTTCAAATTACTTTTTGACCCTGCTTGTGCACCCCCTCTCCTTCTTTTCCCCAAGCCAATCCCACACCATCTCTCTCTTTCTGTCTTTCTCTCTCTCTCTGTCTGTCTCTCTCTGTCTGTCTTTCTCTCTCTCTGTCTCTCTCTCTGTCTCTCTCTCTCTTTCTCTCTCTCTCTGTCTCTCTCTCTCTCTCTCTCTCTCTCTCTCTCTCTCTCTCTCCCTTCCTTCGCCCACCCCCCCGGTCCTTGCTTCCCTCTTCTTTCTTTCCCTTCCTCTCTCACACACACGCACTCACGCAAACATTCTTGCTGTGTTACTTTTTATCCTCAAGTGAAAAATCCCTCCAATTTTCTCTTTTTCAACACTTTTAAACCCCAGTCATTGCGTTCATCCATTCATTCGTTTGTATGTTTGTTTCTCTTCTGACAGCGCCAGAGCCCCGACTGTTGCCCGACAGTCACCAAGGTCATCATCGTGTGCCCCAGCAGTCTCGTCAAGGTACAGCTGCCGTTCCTGAACTGAGCAGAATGAAGTCAAGAGATCATTTTGAGTTTTGGTGTATCCATAGATGGCTTCTAGGTTCCTTTTGAAGGCAGTTGTTCTTGGGGGGGGGGGGGTTCTCTTATAATGATCATTTAAGAAATTGACTGCTTAGTGTGAGGTATCCATTGATGGCCTCTATGGGTTTTTTTAAGACAGTTGTTTTTTTTAGGGGGTTTTTGTAACTTTTTTTTTAGAATGATAATTTAAGAAATTGACTGCTTAGTGTAAGTTATCCTTTGATGGCTTCTATGTTCCTTTTGAAGACAATTTTTGTTTTTGGTTTCTGTTAGGTTTTTTTGTGATAATGTAAGAAATTGACTGCTTAGTGTAAGCCTCTGCAATAAGCCATTTTGACAAGTGATGTATCACAGGGTGTTAGCCCGAGTGGTCTAAAATTGTAATAGTCCGATTTTGGACTTGTGCATAAACGAAATACAGAAGCATATGTTTGTGTTGTTGATTCAATGCTAAAGTATGCTAATTTTTTTCCTCTTAACTTTAAGATAATGTTATTGATTGGTTTTGCAAGGAGCGTTTAACCGTTACAATTTCACGCTTTTTTTTTTTCTCCAGATAGGAAGAACAGTGTCCGAAAATTAATTTTGAAACAAATTTTCATCCAGTCAAATTTATTTTCATCTTTCTTTCTGTTTCCTACGGCAGAACTGGCACAATGAACTGGCCAAGTGGCTGGGCTCCAGGATACAGGCTCTGGCTGTTGACTCTGGCTCTAAGAGTGAGATAGACAGAAACTTGGGTAAGCATATGTGGAATTTTTTCTCACTGTCTTTGATACATGTGTGTGCGTTTGATGTGTTCCGTCTTGCACACACATCATGTGTGTTCATAGCTGCCAACCAGTGGGTAAAAACGTGTTTAGTATGGAAGTTTGTTTTTGTGTTGGGTAATGCGTGCTGTCTATTCTCCACATTCTCTAGTATTGCTCATCATGAACTTGGCAATAATGGGGGAAAAAAATCTGAGGTATCGTGGTGAAATCAGGCGCTCGTCGAAATAATGAAATCGAAGAAATTGGCTTATTTTTGTGCCAGTTTGAAGATTTTTTTCGAATTTTTGTTTTTTAGCTCAACACTTTGTATTTGTATGTCCTTTCAAAAACACTTATATGTGTGGATTTTATGGAAAAACATTGATTGGAGGTACATAGAATATAGATTTGAAGTTTCCAAGTTCAGATGATACCAATAACTCCGTACGCCCCAAAATTGACGAGCGCCTGATTCCACTGCGTTTTGACACAGATTATGAATTTTCGAGAGCGGACTTGTGATTATTGATAAAAATCAGAGCTGATTAGTCAATCAGAGTTGTGTCTGTAAAGTAAGTTAGAGATCTTGACTTTAAATTCTAGCAATATTTTTGCAGGTGTGCTTTGAAAAGTTTGATTTTAGTACAGTGAATCATAGCACATTTCTCCGTTTCCTC